TGTTTCAAACCCTCCCAGCGGGTGGGGAGAGCGCCCACAGTACCCTGCCACAGGCTGCAGCAGGTGATGGCGGTGTTTGAAACCCTCCCAGCGGGGCAGAGGAGCTGAAACCTGGACCGGAGCCGGCCCACAGCAGCGCGCAACAGTCTCCAGCAGGCGATGGCGGGGCAGGGGAGCTCATTCCTGGTCTGGAGCCGGCCCGCAGCAGCGCGGTATACATAACTTGGTAAATAAGTCACTTTGGTATATAAGTCGCAGGTCCAGCCAGACTATAAAAAAAAGTGTGACTTATAGTCTGGAAAATATGGTAAGGTAGGTAGATCCAGCCCTCTTCTATCTTTGGTCTTCTGTGGTGCTTTTAAGCTAATTCGTGGAGGTTTATCCATCCAAAGGAATTTAGTGAATGAGGAGTCCAGAGAGCTAAATCAGTCAGATGGTGGCTTGCTTGGGATCATTGACAATAAGTAATTGATTCTTGGTAAAAAAATCATTTTAACTGTGGCAACCCTCCTCATCAGTGATATCTGGTAAGATCATCTTCCACTTTCTTTAAAAGTGGGATGTAGTCTAGTTTTGTTACATCTGCCAGCCTGGGATAGACTTGAATGCACAAGTATGGAATATTCCATAGAGACAGTGTCCTGCCCACGGCCAAAATCACACAGATTAAATATCAGGCTTAATAAAGCAAATCATGGAAATCTCATAAATATTAGAACAAATTCAAATGAGCAGAAAACTAGAAAAATTAAATGTGGGTTGTTGAACATTAGATCCATTTTTTCTAAGACTTAGTTAATGACTTGATTTGTGATAATCAGATCTCTTTGCTCTCTCTCACAGAATCCTGGCTGCAGCAAGAGGACTATGTTAGCTTAAACGAGTCGACTCCTTCAAATTATTTAAATCATCATATTGCTCGAAGTACAGGGCGAGGAGGAGGAGTAGCAACCATTTTTCATTCGGACTTATTAATCAGTCCCTTACAGATTAATAGTTACAGTTTGTTTGAACATCTTATTCTTAGTTTTCCTAATCCAGATAGCAAAACTGTAAAACCACTCTTGTTTGTAGTTTCATATCGTCCACCAGGCCCTTACTCTGAGTTTTTGGATTAGATCTCTGATTTTTTATCTGATTTGGTGCTAAATACTGATAAGGTCATTGTAGTGGGGGATTTTAATATTCATGTGGACATTGAAAATGATAGCCTCAATGTAGCCTTTAGTAATATCTTAGACTCAATTGGTTTCACTCAAAGAATACATAGCTCCACCCACTCCTGCCATCATACATTGGACCTTGTTCTGACTTATGGCATTGAGTGTGAGGAAATAATCTTTCCACATAATCCAGTCCTCTCTGACCACTTTCTGATAACCTTTGAGTTTTTTTATAACTGAGTTCTCGAGACATGAAAGTAAATTTCATTATAGTCGGTCTCTATCTGACAACGCAGTTGCGTCTTTTAAATCAACTGTTCCATCTTTACTGTCCTCCGCATCTCAGAGGCATGTAGCAGAGGGCAATATTTTCAGTTCTAGCCCCTCACAAATTGATGCCTTAGTTCATCATGTTAATTCCTCTTTACGTGTGGCATTAGATGATGTTGCCCCTTTAAAAAAGAAGGTAATTAGGGACAGGAAGTTGGCTCCCTGGTGTAACTCTCATCTACGAGCCTTAAAACAAAACTCTAGGAAATTGGAGAGAACATGGCGCTCTACGCACCATGAGGAGTCCTACCTATCCTGGAAAAATAGTCTTGTGCTTTATAAAAATAAGCTTCAACAAACTAGAACTGCTTATTTTTCAGCATTAATTGAGGAGAATAAGCATAATCCTAAATTTATTTTCAGTACAGTTGCTAAACTTACACAGAATCGTAGCTCTGAGCCATCTATTCCCTTAGCCCTCAGCAGCAATGACTTCATGGGATTTTTTACAAGTAAAATTAATTCTATTAGAAACAAAATCTTTAGCATCCTCCCTAATGCGATTTCTTCTTCCTCAGTAAGTGAGACAGCTTCAGAGGTGACTGTAGAACCTCATCTGTGCTTGAACCGTTTTGATCCAGTTGAGCTTTCAGAGTTATCAAAAATATTAGCTTCATCTAAACCTTCAACTTGCATTTTGGATCCAATCCCAACCAAATTATTTAAAGATGCATTTCCTTTGGTTACTGCCCCCATTCTAGATATAATCAATCTATCCTTAGTAAATGGGTATGTACCACAAGATTTTAAGGTTGCTGTAATCAAACCTTCACTTAAGAAGCCTTCTCTGGATCCAGATGACCCAATGAATTATAGACCAATATCTAACCTTCCATTTTTATCCAAAGTCCTGGAGAAAAAGTGGCCATCCAAGTATGTCAGCATTTAAACACTAATGCTCTGTTTGAGGAATTTCAGTCTGGTTTTAGAGAGTATCACAGCATTGAAACTGCATTAGTGAGAGTTACAAATGATATTCTCATGGCCTCAGATAAGAATCTTGTGTCTGTTCTAGTCTTGTTAGATCTCAGTGCTGCCTTTGACACAGTTGATCACAATGTTCTTTTAGAAAGACTTGAACATGTTGTAGGGATCAAAGGAACAGCGCTAGGCTGGTTTAAATCCTACCTGTCTGACAGATTTCATTTTGTAAATGTACATGACAAATCTTCTTCATACTCCAGGGTTACTTGCGGAGTACCACAGGGTTCAGTGCTTGGACCAATTCTTTTTACTATATATATGCTCCCAATTGGTAAAATCATTAGACAGCATGGGATAAACTTCCACTGTTATGCTGACGATACTCAGTTATATTTATCCTAATCGGTTGGGTAGATTACAGGCTTGTCTTGAGGATATAAAAAATTGGATGACTCTAAACTTCTTGCTTTTAAATCAAGACAAGACGGAAGTTCTCATCTTTGGACCAGAAATCCAGAAAAGGAAATTGCTTAGCCAATTGCCTGACCTTTATGGCATTACATTGGTCTCCGAGAACAAAGCAAGGAACCTTGGTGTTATCTTTGACCAGGACATGTCATTCAAATGCCAGGTTTCACAAGTTTGTAAGATTTCCTTTTTCCACCTTCGGAATATTGCTAAGATTAGAAGCATCCTTTCCAGGAGTGATGCTGAAAAACTAGTTCATGCATTTATTACATCAAGACTGGATTACTGTAATTCATTACTCTCAGGAAGTCCACAGAATGTAGTTAAAAGTCTTCAGCTTGTCCAAAATGCTTCAGCTAGAGTTCTGATGAGAATTAAAAAGAGAGATCATATCTCTCCTGTCTTAGCTTCCCTACATTGGCTACCTGTTAAATTCAGAATAGATTTTAAGATCCTTCTTCTCACATATAAAGCTCTTAATAATCAAGCTCCATCATATATCAGTAATCTGATTGTTCCATATGTTCCTAACCGAGCACTTCGCTCTCAGACTGCAGGTCTACTGGTGGTTCCAAGAATATGTAAACTTAGGATGGGAGGCAGATCTTTTAGTTATCAGTTTTCAGTTATCCTCTCCTGTGGAACCAGCTCCCAGCTTTAGTCCGTGAGGCAGACACTTTGTCTACTTTTAAGAATAGGCTTAAAACATTTTTATTTGATAGGGCCTATGGTTAAAATCTGATGTTAGCCTAAATCTGGACAAGTGGGGGAGTACAGGGAGATGGAGTGTACAGTCCGTAAAGACGGCTCTCCCTTGCCCTGCCTCCAACATGCCTCCATCTAAATAGGATAGATTATCCAGAGTTATCTCTGTAGTTATGCTGCTATAGGCTTAGACTGCTGGAGGACACACTGACCACTTTTCACACTCTACTGCTTTATTCTACAGTCTGCTCTTTAACTGTACTATTTTGTGCAATTTCAGCTGTTAACTTTATTTTCTCTGTAAGTGTTTTTCTCCCCAGAAGAAGCTACAATGACGTTCTGCTAAGCTGTAGTGGCCTCATGGAGGGGGCCATCAACTAGCACACTGCTGCTAAGCACTAATACATTCTCTCTCTCGTGATAACTTTTTGTTTTCATTGACTTTTGATATGCTAATGCTAGTTTATCCGTTTAATTATAGATCCACTTGGATTAATACAATAAAGTTTATCTTTCACCAAATAGAATATTTACTAAGACATCACAATATAACTATTGACACATTACTTGTCTGTGTGTGTGTGTGTGTGTGTGTGTGTGTGTGTGTGTGTGTGTGTGTGTGTGTGTGTGTGTGTGTGTGTGTGTGTGTGTGTGTGTGTGTGTCTGTGTGTCTGTGTGTCTGTGTCTGCTCTGTCTTCTCGATCCCCAGTGAGTCGTGGAGGATGGCTGCTTATACTGAGCCAGGATTCTCTGGAGGTTTCTTCCTGTTAAAAGGGAGTTTTCCTCTCCACTGTCACTGCATGCTTGCTTAGTATGAGGATTGCTGTATAGTCACTGACACTAGTCAGTGACTTGATGCAATTTGCTGGGTTCCTTATATAGGAAACATTATTTCTGATTGGCTTAATGAACTGTGAATTGGAATGTTTATTATGTGAAGTACCTTGAGACGACTCTTGTCGTGATTTGGCGCTATATAAATAAACTTGAATTGAATTGAATTGAATTCTCCGACTCCAATGGTGTATTAGGGGAAGTGAGAAAATATTAATTAAGAACTGTAGATTTTACCAGGTGTGGACTCGAGTCACATGACTTGGACTCGAGTCAGACTCAAGTCATTATTTTAATAACTTCTGACTTGAACTTTTTTAATCATAACAACCAACAATTTATAAAGGAAAATCATGAAGAGGCTGCCTAAACTTTTGCATTCCCACTGTTCTCTATCATATACTGTTGCTCTAGAAGGTTTAAAATAACCGGATACAGGCCTTTTAAATGCTAACATCACGTTCAACGCTCACCGATGAGTGTGTGTGTGTGTGTGTGTGTGTGAACTATTATAGATTTTAGCTATATGTGCCAGGTAAAGACATGGTCCATATGTGAGTGTTGAGTGTTTGGTACCTGTAACAAACTAGCAAAAGCTCCATGAATGTCCCCCTTCATCTCAAGCAGGTAGGCTGTGGCCGCATTCCTCTGGTACTTCTTTGTTATCTAGAGAAAATGTTGAGATAGTGAGGGTAGAAAACTGAGAGACCAGCCGGCTACATACACTGGGTATAGAAAAGAAGCAACCTCTTTGAAAGACTTAAATCTTTTTGCTTTACAGCCTCAAATGGGCCACAAACAAAAATATATTTTACCAGCTTTACTTATCCAATGCAATCTATAACATCCGACTGACAAGAGATAGGGTTACTTTAAGAGATTTAAAAAAATCAAAATAACAGAAAGAAAAATGGATGGGGGTAAATACCATCACATTCTTGAAGAAAACCTGCTACCCTTTGCCAGAAGAAGGGCAGAAGATTCACCTGTCAACATAATGGTTCGATGCACACAGCAAAATGAACAACACAGTGGCTGAAGGAGAAAATGTGAACATCCTCATGTGGCCCAGTCAGAACTCACACCTAAATCCTGTTGAAATCTGTGGAGGAGTTTGGAGATTGTGGACCACCACTGCCTACCATCCAAACTGATCCAACTGTTCCAACAGTTCTGTAAAGAAGAGGGGCAGATATTGTTGTAGAGAATTATCCCAACAGACTCAGCACTGTTATTAAAGCAAAATGTGGTTCAACCAAATATTGACATTGGCTGGTGATTCTTTATTAACCTCAGAAATTTGTGGGTATTTTTTTTATAATTTTTTCTGCACTGCAATTGTGATATTTTTCTGTTGAAGTTATAGACTGCATTGGATAAGTAAAGATGGTAAATATATATTTTGTCTGTGTGGGGTTAAGTGTCTTGCTTAAGGACAGGTAGTGGAATTCAGGACCCTCTATCCACTGGTACACAGCCATCATTTGTATCCAGGCATGCACTCCTGAATCCACATTTCTTCGTTCAGCGTTGATTTGATCCATATGAGGGAATTCCAGACTCCTCCCCCTGATAGACTTCCATTTAAATATGCTAATAGATGTTAGCTAGTCTTACAGGTGCGATTCTCCTCTCTGATCAGAAATCAAAGAGCGCTGCAGCGCTCCAGTATGCCTTTGTTCTGACTATCCCTATTTCCTCGTTGAATATTCCTACCGCAGCGTGTTACGACAGTTTCGCTCTTCGACAAGTAGCACATAGTCGGAACACCGTCTTAGCTGATTTTGTTTACTAGTTTCATTTTCAATATATTTGTTGGCCGGAGCTCGGCATTGACTCCCCACATCATCATGATACTTCCCTCTGTTGCGCCACGGCGCAATAGCCGTTTAAAAGACAGACCAATACTGTAATATTACTACCAAGCGAGGCGTAACGAATGCCGCAAAATTTGTGCAACACCATGCCGGTGTTCCGACCAAGCCCCCATAATTCGGGTCTGAAAATGAAGCCAATACGGAAGTGAGAAAAGTTGCAGTTCCACCCTCATCCGCTGGGGGCTGGTGTCAGAAGCGCGCAAATCCTCATTGACTCCTATGTTAAAAATACCAATTTCACAGCAGAAATAAACATGTTTACAGCCTGGTTCCAAAACACGTTTTAGGTTTAATAGATGTAGTTTACACTCATAACAACTCTGAGGGGGGTGCATTTTTTGTCATTCTTCTGTTTAAGTTGTTTAAGTGTATTAAATGCCTAAAATTCTGAATAATTAATGAGCATCAGACCCCCGTGACCGCAGAGCTAGCTCCGGGGAAAGGCCTCGGTCTGAGCCTCGGCCTTGCCTGAAAACTGTTCCGCCATTTTCAGTATCTCAACTTAGACCATTAGTTGTAGCGTTTGTGCATTCTTTTTTGGATATTATTTGTGCAATAGTTGGACAAAATGACTTGCTGTGGTATTAATTGCACTAATAGAGCATCCAAGGAGTCTCTACTTCATTTTTTTCGGTAAGTAAAATTATATTTATGTATTTTAGGTCACTGCCGCTCTTGCACTAGTTGAGCTTAGAGTTTAACATGTACTGTTTAACCATGACATTTAAATGTAATAGGGTAAAACCCAGTGCATTTAACATAACGCTGCATTTTTTAAAATGGGTTGAAATATGACATGTTGGTGGAGCTGGGTTCAGACTATCGGTATGGTCCCCTCCCCTCAGCAGCAGCTCGGCACATATCTGACGGCAGCGGCGCCCGTCTGCTGTGCGGCTGCCGGCTTGTGGAGCTCTCGGGAGACCTCTGTGTTCCACCTGGTTTTAGCCAGCGGTCAGCCCGGTGTATCTGTGACTCAGAAGCTCAGGTGTTGTGCACAGTTAGCTCCGGTTGTAGCTAGGTAGCTACCTCCGTTAGCTTAGATCCCACCTTCGCGTTAGCTTTGGGTTAGCTTGTAGCTACAGCGCTTCAGTTCGACGGATGTCATCATTTGATCCCAGCCTTACAGCCCCAACATCAGCTCCACCTCTTTTCCCTTTTGTGGAATTGTCTGGGCTCGACAGAACCTGTGACAGGGCCAAAAGGGCAGTGGTGGCCACCTCCCATTTTGGCATAAAAACTTATTATTGGAGCCTATGGAAATGAACTGTCCAGTTTATATGTCGATGGATCCGACTGTGCTACTCGTCAATACATGCCACTTTGGGAAATGCGCATGCACAGACTGACTACAACGTCACAGGCTGTTAACCTGAAGAGACGCTACCTCTGGAAGTTGTTATATTACTGCTTGTTGTATGTTTACCTGACAGTTAGCTTGTAAACAACTTGTAAATTATCATTATTATACTGTAAACCAGAACTTTCTCCCATTGTTTACCATCATTCACGGAATCATGACTAAAACGGTCTTTTTCATAAATGATGACAAACACTGTATATTTTTGATAATAATTATATTACAGTTGTGTATTTTTGAGTAATATCACCTATTCAAAATCAAGCATGCCTAAAAAGCATGGTACTATACTGTAAACAAGAGAGAAACTGTCATAAAACGCTGCGGTAGGAATATTCAACGAGGAAGCACGGAATGTCAGAACACTGGCATGGCGCATTTAAAAGACACACTGTTGCGGTAATATTACATTGATTTGCCAGCATGATGTGTCTTCTTCAGGCACTCGAGGAGTACAGACGCTTCCCTCTTTCTCTCCCTTATCTTTTTTTCCCAAGGCTCTTTGTCCTGTCTGCCCACAGAGCGCTTCTCTGCATTTCTTCTGAAAAACTATTTTTACTAACCATGGATTTGATAAACTGGTCATTCAATGCGATCGATAAGATCTTTTCAACAATGAGAACGGAGCAGGGGGCTCCCACATGTCCATGGGGACACACCCAGTGGGATATATGCTGGATTCCTGGAAGGAGTGGAAGATCATATGCCTCAGCCAGCTGTCCATTGAGGACATCGAAGACGTGTGGATATTTGGCCTGATGATCACTGGATTTCTCCTGATTTGAGTGGGAGGATATCTGGGTTTTTTTTAATTTGGGAAGACGGGAGCGATTGGAGGGCAACCCGCACCCACGGAAAGCACCGTCCGTGTGGAGACTTCTCAGACTGGGACGTTACTTGAGATGAATCGTAAGCTGGACAATGTTCTAGCTGCGATACCGGTATTAGTGCGCAAAATGGATGTCATCTCGGAGAGAGTCACCGGATGGTATGGACAGGTTTAAAAACCCAAAATTGGCTTCACTGAAGGACTGGAAATGATCAGTTTAAAGACTGAAGGCAGAGAGGAAAATTATCTCAGCCTGACCCAAACAAATTCTTGCTATCTGAATCTGACGCCCTGGTAGCCTTGAGCTGCAAGCAACTAAAACCCCCACGAAGGAATGCAGACAGATGCTGTGAAAACCCGACCTACTCCCCCCGCCTTCGGATTGGTGGACTTCAGCCTGGCGAGATCATCAACTGCAGGAGTCAATGTGCTCTACGCTTCTCCCAAGATCTCCCTCCCACCTGTGACTGTTTAGTAGATAAGCACTGTAGATGGCTGCTCTCGCTGGGGGAAACAGGATCCCACTGACTGACTGATTGATTGATTAAAAAGGACTACTGGAGGAGGTTGAGAGGTTATGTTCCCCCATAACAATACAGGAAAAAGTGGACACTATTAGGAAGCTAGAAAACAATAAATCCCGGGTCCCTCTGGGAAATACTATCAAGTTTTTGTCAACGAGCTTGCCCCAATATTGCATCGGGTGTACAGTGTTCAATTATGCCATGCCATTATTTATATAATGCACTGCATTATATAGAACTGATTAGGACAAGGATATACCCCTCCCACACACACACACACACACACACACACACACACACACACACTGTGTTGACTGGACTGCATCAATTTCATTCATATGCTGGAATATTACTTGTATAGCTTCCTCCAGTCTGTAATGCTGGGATGTCTGGAGGAAGGTCAGGAGCTTGCTGGGTGCAAACTGGCACATCAAGTCCAGAAGAAGCTCATGAAGTTCAGGTTCTGAAGGCCCTGGATGAGCTTCTTCCCTGTAAAACACCAAGGAAGGTATTAGAGGGTTTAAATGGGCAGCAACAAGGGAAGGAGCAGGGGATGTTGCTACTTTACCGTGGCTCCAAGAGACAGCTCAGAAATCTGAATAGAAGCTGGGCATCCTGCTGGGGGTGGGGGTGGGGGTGGGTGGGGGTTACAGAGAGAACAACTTAACTGACTTTGACTAAACACCTCTAAAATTAAAACACATGAAAATTTTAGGGAACTTTCCAGATAATGTTTAAGTCATGTTCATGATTGTTTAATCAGCTTTCTGAAGAGAATTTTCATTTTCTTTTAGCGAAATCTAAATCTGAAAAAGGGTGTGTAGCTTATTGAATCATGCTTGCACGGCTTCACCTTTAGCTCTGAGATGATAGGCTGTAACTTTTCAGTAAAGTGCCACAACACCAGGTCAGCTGATTTGCTGGGGTCAAGGGTCACCAGCTCCTATGAATAAATAAACAGGGTTAATATTAACTTCATTAAGTAATCAGACAAACTGTGGAGAAAAAAAAAGATGGAAGAATGACAGTAAACTAAGGAACAAATTAGATGTTTGATAACATCAGCAACCAGTGTAATTATGCTAATCCAGTTGTGGTATAAGTTTTAAAACATGCTTAGAGACTTAAGAAAAGTGGAATGAGAAAAACACCAAAAATACTAAATCTCATTAAATAAAGAAACTGTAAAAAAATCAGTGTAATGAGACCAACAGGAGCATTAAAGAAGGACCCTGAGCAGCAGCTAATGAAGCTACCTTCATAATTACGTCATAACATACTAAAAAATATTATAACTACAAGTTACAACCCACAGACAGCAAAACATAGAAAGGAAGACAAAACCAACAAATATCAATCAGAAACATTAGAGGAGTTGTAAGGAAGGGGAGGATGGAGTAGGACGCGAGTCTGGGAGCTCCTGCCGACTTCGATTAAATTGTTATTCATTTGCGCTTTTTTGACCATATTTCTTGTCCTAATTCTGATTTTTGAATTATTTTGTTGGGACGTTTTAATCGGCTCGGCATATAATGGCAGCAAAAAATGTAAAAACCCGCAATGCTACTCAAACACAACTGAAGCTTGGTTTGCAAACCGCGGCCACACCCTCGAGTGAGCCGTTGTCTCCGGCAAAGTTTCCCTTGGGCCAAGCTAATCCTGATATCGAGGCTCTCAAGGTCGAGTTGCTTGCTTCGTTGAGGAATGATATTGCTGACATTTTTAAAAAGGAACTTCAGGACACTCTGGGTGATGCTTTGTCCACCATTAAGTTCGACCTGCAGGCAGTGAAGACTCAGCTGGCGATCGATAAAGCTGCCAATGACTCTACCATGTCCGAGCTAAAAGGTACGGTCAAGGAGATGGAGCATGCACTGACTGTTTGCTCTGATGATGTTGCTGAGATGAAAACTACTATCAAGAGCCTCACTGCTCATGTAGCCAAACTGGAAAACAAGTGTGAAGACTTGGAGTCCAGGTCGCGGCGCAACAATGTTAGGATATTAGGAGTACCAGAGGGCCCTGACACGTCCACCACTGCTGCCGTAGCCTCCTTGCTAAAAGAAGCGTTCGACCTGGGGAAGAAACCGCTTTTGGATCGTTCACACAGGACTCTCCAGCCTGCACCTAAACCTGGCGACCGACCACGAGCTATTATATGCAGGTTTCATTACCACACTGACTGTGTTGACATTTTACGACGTGCTAGAGAACGCCGACAGATTAACGTTGGAGACCGAACCATCTCAATCTTCCCCGACTACACCGTCAAGGTGGCACGGGCTCGTGCTGCATTCAACACGGTCAGGCAGCAACTCCGTGGCATTGAAGGCGTCCGGTACGGCCTGCTTCATCCAGGACGACTCCGCATCACATACAAGGGTGTTGAGAGGGACTTTGTCTCAGCAGAAGAGGCAAGTGATTATGTTAAAACTTTGATCTCTGGGTGAGCCTGAATAGCCTCTTAGGCCTAGTCCACACGTAGCCGGGGTTTTTTAAAAACGAATATCCGCCCCTCCAAAAACTTGCATCCACACCACCGCGTTTTAAAAACAAACTCTGTCCACACATACCCGGATAAATACGTTGTTAAGGACATGCCAGACCTGTAGGCGGCAGTACTTCCCCCGTTCTTAACCTCGTCCTTCGTCTGTGGTCTTCCGCAAGGAGCAGTAATTCCGCTTGCAAAAACAAACAAGCAAAAAGCGCTTGGACAATTGATGGATCGGGTAGTGACAGAGCACAACTCTGAAGGCTTCCATGATGCCGGCTAGTGTAAACACAGGTCGCACACGTGATGTCAGCATTTTTTGTCGCGGAAAGTGACGCTGCAGACCTTAAAACTCCGGTTTTGTCCATTCACACGCAGACACCCAAAACGGAGAAAACGCAGATCTTCACTTTGGCCGGAGTTTTTAAAAAGATCCGTTTTCGTGTGAAAAAACTCCGTTTTCGTGTGGATGACAGGCCAAAACGTAGGAAAATATCTACGTTTTGGCAGATCCCCGGCTACGTGTGGACAGGGCCTTAGTTTGATGCTTTAATGTAACTAAGTGCTCACGCTCTCGTTAGGTTTAATGCCACCTGTGCATTGTTTTCTTAGACCGCTGTGCCAGTTATTATACTGTTGGTGTGCTGGTTCCTTTTATTTTCATTGTTAACTAATGATACTGAATTATATGATATACTCTAGAGTTCAAAGGACTAGGTGGTATGTTGTTAAGCGCACACTGTTATACTGTAGAGAAGTTGGCGAGATGTTGTGGTTTGTTTTTCTTTTCTCTCTCTTGTTCCCTCTCTCGCTTTTATTTTGTATTTAGACGCCAGTTAGTCCAATCACTTCTGTGAACCATTTTTTGCTACTTTGGGGTACACTGCTGTCTCCTTTGTTTTGTTTTGTGGAGACTTGGGGTGTGTTTGGGGGTGGGGGTGGGGGGGGAGAAGAAGGGGGCTGTCCCACTTGGCTCTTCATGGCCACCTGCATCTTGGTTTTGTCTTTTTCTTTCTCCTTTTTATGAATGGTTAATGGTAATATAGACCCCAGCATTGCTGGGTCAGGTATGCCTCTTAGGTTTATTAGTTGGAATATCAGAGGTATGGGTAACCCTGTTAAGAGATCTAAGGTTTTTACTCACTTGAAACGTCTGAATTCTGACATAGCTTTTTTACAGGAGACTCATCTCCGTATTAAGGATCAAAATAGGTTATATTGTTCTTGGGTAGGTCAGGTTTTTCACTCAAATTTCAATTCAAAGGCTAGAGGAGTGGCCATTCTCATCAATAAGAAAGTTCAATTCTCTTCGACCAATGTTATCGCTGATGGGAACGGTAGATACATCATTGCTGCTGGCACCCTAATGCAGAAAAAGGTTTTGTTGGTAAACGTATATGCCCCGAATTTTGATGATGCTGAATTCGCTAATAGATTACTAAGTAACATCCCCTTTCTGAATACACATTTGCTTATTTTTGGTGGTGATCTGAATTGTGTTTTTGTTCCAAGCTTGGATTGTTCTGGTCCTCGTAATTTGACTCCATCATCTATGTCTAAAACATTTTCAGATTTTATGATACAGAATGACCTTGTTGATCCATGGAGACTTCGCAACCCTACAATCAAAAAATTTTCGTTTTTCTCCCAGGTCCACCAATCTTATTCCAGGATTGATTATTTTTTCATCGATAGAACTCTCAATTCATGTGTTACTAACTCCGACTATTCTGGTATTGTAATATCTGATCACTCTCCTCTGCTATTAGATGTTCAACTCTCTACATATAAACGTAGTCCTCCTCTTTGGAGATTTAATTCTCTCCTTTTGGCTGATAAAGAATGTTGTGAATTTATTTCAAGCTCTATTGAGGAGTTTGTGTTGTTTAATCAGGATGATTCTGTTTCATATTCTCTGCTGTGGGAGGCTCTTAAATGCTATTTGAGAGGTCAAATTATTTCTTATTCTGTACGTACTAATAAAAAGATTAATGCCAGGCTTAAAGAACTTACGGTGGCAATTAGTAACTCTGATCAAAGTTATGCACTGAATCCTTCTCCAGAATTACTCAAGCAGCGCCTTGATTTGCAAGCTGAATTTGATCTTATGTCAACCAAAGAGGCTGAGCACTTATTACTACGCAGTCGTGGCTCATATTATGAATACGGTGACAAGGCTAATCGTTTGTTGGTGCATCAGTTACGACGTCAGGCCTCTTCACGTGTGATACCTAGTATTAAAAACTCTTACGACAATATTACTACAGATCCTTTGGAAATTAATTCTACCTTTAAAGCATTTTACTCTTTGTTGTACAAGTCAGAATTTCCCACGGATAAAGCTAAAATTAATGAATTTCTTCAGTCTCTTTCAAACCCGGTTATCGGTACTCATAAGCCCGGGCAACTGGACTCCCCACTATCTGCTGATGAAGTATTAAAAGCTATTACAGCTATGCAGTCTAATAAAGCCCCAGGCCCGGATGGGTTTCCTATTGAATTTTATAAAACATTTATTGGTAAACTGGCACATTTGCTTTTATCTGTGTTTAACGAGTCATTGGAATCAGGTTCATTACTTCCTACTTTCACGCAGGCCACCATAGCGCTCCTTCTCAAAAATGACAAGGACCCAACTTCCTGTGATTCTTACAGGCCATTATCTCTGCTTAATGCCGATGCAAAGGTATTGGCTAAAGTAATTGCATCTCGCCTTGAGGATGTGCTTCCTCGAATTATCTCCGAAGAGCAGAACGGCTTTATAAAGGGACGGCAATTATTTTTTAATACCCGTACACTCTTTAATGTTATTTACTCAAAGCATCTATCTCAACTTCCTGAACTTGTGATTTCTTTAGATGCTGAAAAGGCTTTCGATAGGGTGGAGTGGGAATACTTGTTTGCAGTTTTGAAAAAATTTGGTTTTGGTGATAAATTTACTTCCTGGATTCAGCTTCTTTATTCATCCCCTAAAGCCAGTGTTCATACTAATGATGTTTACTCTGATTATTTTGCGCTGGGTCGTGGTTGTCGTCAAGGTTGCCCTTTGTCACCTTTACTCTTTGCCATTGCCATCGAGCCGCTGTCCATTACATTAAGATCTTCTTCTGTATTCAAGGGTATCATCCGTAATGGAATTACACATAAAGTATCATTGTATGCGGATGACTTGTTATTATATATGACTGACCCTGCTCGCTCCATTCCTGCTGTTTTAAGTATTCTGGAGAACTTCAGCTCGTTTTCAGGTTATAAATTAAATTTAGGGAAAAGTGAGTGTTTTCCTGTTAATACGGCAGCACGTCAACTCCAACAGTCCGATCTACCCTTTCGTCTTAGTCCCTCTGGGTTTAAGTACTTAGGGGTTAACGTGACTCGCTCTCTATCTGGCCTTAAATCAGCAAATTTGTCTCCTCTTTTATCTAGGATCACATCTGATATTCAAAGATGGG